AGGCATGTTTTCAAGTGGCGACATAATAAAGTGCATTCTGTTGCCGCTACGCGGCGCAAGTGGCGCAGATATCAGCAGTTTGAGAGCCCTACAGCGTCAGCGTCAGCCGACTCTTCATAATTGACATAAAAAAGTTTAAAATTAAAAGTTTAACATTTAATTATATTCACTGGCAATATCAGTATATCGGTGTGTATCTATATCTACGAGTATACTAATATAATAAAGTGTAAACAGGCACTATTTCGTGGCGTAGGTTGTCAAAAATCGTAACATATTTTTGAATCATTATTTCTTTAACAAAAAGCCCTACACTACAACACGCTATAGGCTATAAATTTTCGCACTATTAAATTTAGAGGGTAAATAAATTGAAAAAAAAACCTTCATGTGGAAAAGGGACCATAACCTACAAGCTGTCAACATTGAAAAAGCAAGGTAATTATGGTAACGGTAATTTTGTTTGACATTTGAGTTGAGAATTTGACAAATGTAAACAATAAAATAAAGTTTTTATAATTTCATGCAAATGAAACCGCACGGGAACAGCTAGTCATCCATAAACATCGATGACATTAGACCACGCTATTACAAATCCTTGAGTCGAATGACGAATACAGAAGCTGTGGGTTGTATGTAGGCCGTTGCCTTTTACTTAAAGGTCTTGTGTTTTTAATGGATAATTGGAATCTAGAATGTTCGTCGATGCCTTAAATGGAACGTATTGTTTATACATTTACACATAACTTCCACAAATTTAAAAACTTTAAAGTCTATAATTTTGCTGAATAAAATTGTTTAGAACTCCGTAAGTCACTCAGATATTCACCATTCAACAATCAGAAGTCGCAAACATTTTTAAACAATACAAACTGCAGTTCGAGCGATTCAAATTCCAGACTGCTACAATCAGGACGGCTGTGCAGTCGGCAAGCAAGAGATCTATTCAGTATTCCACCGGCCGCTCCTTTGTGATGGTATTCACGCGCCACTGGCCAACTGTTTTCAGCACGACTACACTGTACTACGATATTTACAACTCCGTAACGGGGAAAGCCATTTAAGTATTTCAAAATGATTTGCTTTGTAAATGAAATTAAATTCGAAGTGTAACATTTAAAGCAACTTTAGTATTGTAAATGATACATACTATCTTACTTGCTTAAGTTTACGGTTTATTCTCGCTTTGATTATATATGGAGGCACGCACACTACTCGATATTTAGTCGGGCAGTTAAACAGTTGATTGGCCTTCGAAACAGTCGACAATCGCACAACAGTTGTGCAATAGTTTAGTCAAAGGTGTGCGACCGCTTTTAGCAGACCATCGATGTAGTTTTTTTTTCATATGAAATAACTACTATGAGTCATTTACTTCACTGTAGTTAGATATTTTATACGTCTACTAGCTGTTCCCGTGCGATTTCATCAGCATAAAATTATTTTATTGTTTAGATGTGTCAAATTGTCAATTGCAAATGTCAAAATGACATATCATGACAAAACTTGGCAATCTTGCATCCTTGATGTTGACAGCAACTTAAGGTCTCTTTCCCACATTAGAGTTTTTATCCAAAATATTTACTCCCTAAGTTTAATGGCGTGAAAATATATAGCCTAAAACCTGATGTAAGTGTAGGGCTTTATATTTAAAAAAGAATTATTTAAAAATATGCTGTAATTGCTGACATCTTAGGCAACAAAGAAGTGTGTGTTTACGCTTTATTATAATAGTATAGATTAAGTGTATATTCAATGAAGTTGAATAAACTTTCGAAATGTTTTTGACAGTCAAAACCTGGCCTGAAAAAGGATTCTGGAAAGGTAAAAAAGGCAAACGGTAGTAAGCTTGTGCAAACTAAAGAAAGAAAAATTTAGGTCAAGTAACAACAGCGCTCGCGAAGTGTGCAAGTTTCCATTGTTTACTATTTCACGAAGAAAACTCTACGCTGAATACTGAAAAGGTAAATGAAAAAAAACGGTTTCCCTAAAAATAGGGCAACGAAATGACTAGTGCGGAATAAAACTGTGTACCTTTTTTCTTGCAACGTTTCTGCAATATCTGGAGAATAACTTTACACTGTCGGATATTTAACGAATAATTTTCTTTAAAATGTTAAAAATCATAAAAAAATTACTTTTATCCATCTTATTTATCCTATAAAATAACAGGTATCTTAACATCAATATGATTTTCCAATTTCATTACTTATATGAAAATATTTTTTGCGTTACCATCAATTAATAACACGAAAATAGAGAATTTCTTAATTACATCATTAATATGAACAAACTAACTAGTGTGAGCTAGTCGTTTGTCTCTCGTAAGTTAATTTGGATATGTTCCAAAATACAATTTGAAACATCCAGTAAGCTAAAGTTAACTGATCAATTATTCTTTTCTTAATTAAGTAATATAATCTCAATTATGGAATTAACCTAAAACTCGCAACGGACTGTAATTCTTTTATGCGTTCGGCTGAGCCTCGGGCGGGGAATAAATGAAGAAAAACAAAAGTAAACCATTAGGGGTGTCGCGTTCGGGACAGACAATACGACAATACAACAGCAACAGACACATTCTCTAGACTCTTTGACTTTTAAGAGACAGGACCAAGCAAACATTCTCCAACGACGATAAGTTATTAACTTGCGTATTCAATAAGATGATAAGGTTTGTCATCTTTACAGCTCTCTTCGCGAAAAATGGCAAAATGTATTTTATACAAAGGCTGTTCTCTGTCCAGTCCGTTTCTTTACAATCAAAGTTTCGACTGAAAGATTGCTCCTCCATCCTTATATCCCAACAAACATCGGATGCCATTCGCCCTTGGGTTCTTTTATTAAAAAGGAAAATTATTTCGAGACAGTTTCAGTACTTTTACGAAACATTTACCGGCCCTCGAGCTAAATTTTGAACTACGAAGACAAAAACGGTTTTATGTGTCCCTTTTGTTTTCATTGTTTCCTTAGACAAAAGAAAACAAAAAATTGTAATAGACGCCTTTATTAAAAATATTCTAATTTAAAAACCAAGCGTAAACATTTTCTTATACAATACTTTAGAAAAAATAGAAACTTGTATTTCATTATTAAGACCAGGTTCTTTGGATATGTCACCGACAAGTGGTGACCATTATTAGTTAATAATCGGTCTAAATCACCAGTAATTTTCAATTCAGCTAATCTTAGACAATTCAAAGTAGAAGTCTGGTTAGTTATGAAAGTAAAGAAATGGGAAAAAAATCATTATTTTAAATATTTTTTAATCTCTACAGGCAGTAGATAAGGCAACTTTAAAGTGATAAATCGATTTGTGTAAAATGTATCAAATACCGTAGCCACTGTCGACCTCTGTCCACCCCGTGCTCGTTACGCCACCGTTATTAATATCGCCATAACTCGACGTCAACGTCGCAGGTGTATAGACAGACTAATTACTCTCGCACGGACACATGTGGTCGCGCGTCTATGTTACGTGAAAATTATTTTCATAAATTCATTAATTTTGGATAAAGTTTTCAATGTGGTCGCGTCACCACATACCGCAATATCAAGTCATTTTAAAAGTTAAAAACAAAATATTAAAAACTACTTTTACTTAGTGATTCTTTACTATTTTAATGTTTTTGTATTAGAAAAAGTGCTACAGACAAAAATAAAGTTTCTTTTAATTCTCATTTGAATGTACGTAAATCTAAATTTTAAAATTTAGTAGCATTAAGATCGTGCACACACCCGAAACTAAATTATCGCACAATTTTTGTGCGATTGTCGATTATCGATTGTCAGCCAATACAACAAAAAAATGGAGTAGTGTGCTCACCTCCATGTATCAAAGTGAGACTAAAACAGTTGTGCGATATTTTAGTTTCAGATGTGCACGCTCTTATACACAATTTATTGTTTACATAATACCCTTCAAAGATTAAACAAGGTTCGTAGACACGATATTGTCGTTATCGTTAGTTATACATAGATGGTGTAGAGCTCGCAGGGTGAGCAAATTGAGCGTCACCTCCGTGTCATGTGGATGTTGTTGTTACAACCGCTTTTATGATCCTAAACACATGACACCCAATTAATCCGTACAGTTTCACCCTCGCTTTGATAGATAAATCAAATGGTATGTGTTTTTTATTCAGGGTTTTTGATAGCATTTTAAAGATAAATTAAATACGGCTTGTGTTATGTTACAAACTATACTATGAAAATGTACTAACTTTCACCCGCAACTCCGTTCGCGTGGAATTATAAAAAATAAAAATAGCATATATGTTCTTCCAGATTAACCTCTAGATCAATGCCAAATTTCATCGAGATTCGTCCAATTGTTTAGGCTACAAACTCTAACAAACATCCAGGCATCCATCTAAACTTTCGCATTTATAATATTAGTAAGATAGCGGCCTTAGAATTTACTACAATATTATAACCGATGAACCGCTATTTATACAACAGATAATTAAAATTACCACAACAGAATTTTGCGCCAAAACGATTAACCACAGGCGTAACTGCAAACAAATTATTGAGAATGTTTGGCGATTGTTATAAACGGTCGTCCGACGCACTTGCGTGCGGGGGCTGCACTAGAGGTTTTTAATTAATACGCGACGCTCGCCATGTTGAGGAAATAAATCTTAGTTAATGTCCCTTTAGTCTGGTCGGCCCCATGTGCCAGCCAGCGTGAGCCTCGCCAATCGATTTCATATTAGCTACCGTTAACATTCCGAATTGCATTACTGCCATATCTGTACGTCTGCAAATGTATTTCATTATGCAAATAAATGCATTGTTTGATATGAGTGTTACTTGTTGATAATTTTATAATATCGCGTTTCAATTTCGTTAATGATTTAATCAATATCCAATAGTCACTCACAACAGTTTGTACTCGTCAATGTGATGCGAATTTTTAGAAATTATGAACAGTCCTCCAAAACCCTTGTGTTATACTTAACACGTTCGTAGGAATAACTCGATATGTATTGTTCCAGGAATGCAACATTCCTCGAGCCGCATCTCCAAGGTATAAGACGCCGCGACAGCCGAAGCTCTGACTCGGAGCACGATGAGCGTTCTACGGAAGACGACGAGCGGTCGCTCCTGCGCAGCTCCCCGCGCACACGCTTGCCCCCCGCGCCTCCGCCGCCCCCGCCGCCTGACGACGAGCCTCCACCGATGAAGCCCAGAGACTACTTCGAGCGGCTGCACAGCCAAGCTATGAGAGAGGCGCACGACAGGAAGTCCAGACGAGATAAAGACGCTCTGTTTAGAGCGGTTGATGGTGACGGCAGCGTGGGCGACAGTCTTAGTCAGGTGAGCATTGATTAGTATAGGTTTAAATTCAAAGCGATCGAATCGAGCTAGATTAGATTCTAGATGTAACATGTCAATGACATAATGTATTGATATGAGTTTCTCTTAACACGTCCCAAGATAAATCTTACCATTTTCTTTTGCATACATTCATCTATGTTACGTTAAAAACATATAAATTGTCTTCAAATCACGTCTTGAGAAAGTGTGAACATAAATATAATTCCTGAAAGAGAATTTTAATGTGAAAAGTTGTTATAAAAACAAATACGATATACGAGTAGTCCTTGCAAACGGAACGTCAAGAGATTCTTTGCATTTACGAGGAAGTTTAAAAAGTTCCATTCATGAAGAGAACTTGATTCCGTACGACTAATGAACCGTGCCGTAGGTATCTGGTTAGTTTTCCAGACTGTTTTAGTTTCCCTTTTTACAACTGGCCAGTATTTACTAGCTGTTATTGAGACAAGAGGAATAAATTTTGTTCTCGCTTTAAATAAATTTAAATTCATTCCGTCCTATCGTGTTTTCCTTTCATTTCTGAGTTTTATTTTGCTTTTATGAAAATACCAGAAAATTTGGTATTAAAATAAATAAGATTGAAAACACAGTTTCTGATTTGGTTCTTAAAACTACTAAATACTTTATACCGATTCTTCGAATAACTCTAAGAACCAGCATCAGAAAATATATTTAAGTTTAAACTAAAGTACACTTTTCACCTTTAATCATGTGTTGAAATCACTAAACATTTTTTTATCTTTTGTTTTGTTACAACATGAAGGTGTAGGCATAGTCAGTTGCACTCAGAATGCACTCAGGCTGAGAGAGCTCTCGGCTGTTACTTGCCAGTCAATTGCGGGTGTCGCCAGTACTACACGAACTCTTTGCGTCCATTGTTAACTGTTACGCCAAACGCCGGATACCAAGCTTTTTAATCTTAAGTGCCAATAGTGGCGCGTTGTATGAAATCACCTAAATGCATCTCTTGCTTTATCAATGGGTACTATTTTAACTGTAGAAATGGAAATCATTAACTGCCGAATACAAAGTCGTTAATTAAAAGCGAAAATACATTGTTAAGGAAGTAAATCACTTATAGATTTCTTAAACTAATTTTGTGCTAAGTGAATGTTGAAGTCAACATTATATTTACGTGTGTTCTTACATTTAATAAAACATACAAAACAGTAATCGTCAAAACGTTGCCTAATTAGTAGAATGTCAACTTTTACTCATGACTACGAAGTCGTAGAAGTAAATTACGAAATTTAGTATGTAATTGCAATGTTTTGAGCAAAATAATTAATTGATAACAAAAATGTTCATGTATTTATACGATACTGGCATCAAAAGGGTTAATATTTATGACTACACTTGCAGTACAGTCGAGTTGACGATTAACCCTTTAATGAATGTCCCCGAGCCGTTGTAAAGTGCCTTTTGTGGCTCGTAAATGACACTCGTGAACTACTTTTACAAATTTAGACCGCGGGTCCGTCCTCAGATTAACAATGTATGGGACTAAGTATACTTTACGCTTAGTTACATGTCGCAGTAAGTTATTAGCGTCGTTTAGTTAAGTGTTTATTCGCACATTAGGGTAAATATTTTAAGTTTTATTATTTGTTTTCTCAATATCATTGACGCTGACTGGAGTTTAGGTGAAAATTATGTTATTTTGTCTTTGGTGTGTTTTGTAGAATATAATTGTTTACTTAAACTTTTTATACCCTACGGCGTTTATGTTGTAAATGAAATATAAAAAAAAGTTTGGGTCTAGTTTGTGTTTTTCTAACGACACAATATATATTATGAAATTAAATTTTCTTGCATTGTCGCATATCCGTCTATGAATGTAAACGATTAGCGAAAAAATAAAAACAAAAGTCAACATCCCCTATTTACTCATACTTTAAAGTGCTATCACCAAAACAGAACAAAAAACAACAAAGCATTGAAAGTTTCAGTCGGCGCGAAGCGATTATCGGTCTATGCCGCACTTCCGTCTTCACCCTAACACCCTCCAATGGCGGATTTTAATCGGTGCAATTCAAAAAAAAGAGTTAACGCCATTTGTGCATAATTCCCGTCCATTGCACCGCTGCGTTTACACTGCAACAATAAATTCACTCTCTCCTCTTTGTCTTTTTACCAAATTTTAATTGCTCGACAATTCATTATCACGTTTTGTTTAGTCTTTAATGTATTTTTATACTCGCCTCACGTAACTATTTTGTTTATAGTCTTATGCACTTTTATTTAATATTAAATCTAGATTTTTCTTCACTTAGATAGTTACTTTCACTTAATGAAATTACAATATTAAAACAATTACAGTCCTAATTTGTTGTAAATAACGTAAATCAGATGTCAAGTCAATACAGGCTGGACCGGCCGGTCCCCGGCGGCGGCTGGCGCCCTCTCACTTCCGGTCCTCTCATTAACGTAATGCTCGTCCTTTGATCCTCACGTACGGCTCACTGGATTTTTACGTTATTGTTAATTTTTATTTGATAAGTTATAACTAATGCTGTTAAATAATCACACTTCTTAAAAAATGAAGAAACATTCATACTAGTTACAAGTTCCAATTAATTAAACTAGAAATAAAATTTTATACATTTCAAAAGCTTTCCCTAGAAATTGTTAGTCTTTAATAAAAACAGAAGAATTTTCCCATACTAAAATTACGTGGGGGACGGCAAAGGTGGGTAAGAGCATGTTAAAATTTAATTACTTCAAAGTGAAACTCAATACCAATTAATTTATAAAATCGCACTGCAGCCATCCTAGCGGAAGTCGCGACTGGTCCAACGATTTATTGATTCCCGACCACCCCGTGTGAGTCATCTGTACTTGCAATTCCCTCCCCCTCGCCTCTACCCCTGACATCCCGCGCGTCCTTTGGACCACAAACGCTGTTTGCTCTCTTTGATTGAACTTGAAGAAACTAAAGGGTCGCCGCCTCGAGTTTGCAATGTAATAACTGTTTCTTTCCTACGTTATTTCTTGTCCATTTTTTATAAGCCTTGCTTTCGACGATTTTTCGTTATTCCTTTGGCGATGTCTGTTTGCTGAACTTATTTAACTTTGACTCAAAGTTACAATATGTTTAGATAGGTTATTAAAATATAATATATAAAAGATATATTTAGATTGCTGTTTTTATTTACGTTTGATGTCAAACGATTCTATCTACTGCTTGCGTGTTATAGTATCACTAACTCCTTTGTAAACTAGAACGCAGATCTTTACAATCTGAAGTCATTAACCCAGTAAACATTCTATTCTAGGAACGTCACAGGTGTTGTTCAGTCGCCAGTAAAACGTCGTCGCTATTACCCGAGACTGAACACGTGAGATACTTAACACGCTCTTCCGAAGTTTACTAAAGTCAACTGTTATGCGACACTGAACGTCGACTGTTGTATATTTTTATGGGTTTTGCGAGCACAGCTGGTACTTAAGAGATTGCGAAGTCGCCGACTAGGGGAAGCGTAGGTGCGTTTTGCGCTGATTAAAATGAACTCGTAATTATTTTCGGCGAGAAATGTCGCATGGTAGGGGGTGTATTTTGAAATCCTTCGCCTTTTGTTTTCATATCGAAAGTTTAGCTTACTTCACGTTGTTAGAGTATTAAGATTTTCACGACTTTTATTTAATTAGAATAATTTAAACGATTCATGTTTTGCTATACTTATAAGCCCATTTTAATCATACCTTGCTATCAATCACTTTAGAATTCGCGATATCATTGTTCAGATATAATTCACTTCACATGAAGCCTTGACATGGTTCGCCACATTCAAGTTGCCACGGTGTTGAACAATTTGAAGGGAAATACATTTACCGTTTTAATGAAATTGCTACAAACCTTTACTAGATTAATAAAAGTCCATATCTTGTACTATAACCGTAGTAGACTGTAATAGCAATTCTTATCGGGATTTGAGTAACATAAAGTATCGTTTATATTTCTCTATATATCATTACTGATTGCGCAAATTTTGTCGCAAGCGATCGTCTAACTTCGTATATAAAAAGGACAGTTCTGGATGGCACTCATAAGGCGACCTGAAGCTATTCAACATTTAGCGCCTGTATAAAACTAATAGCAGACAACTTTCTACATAAATCGCGAGCCATATTTCGTGGAGGTGCAATTTAGCGGAACGTTCCCGTATCTATTGTGCCCGTGAATTTAACACCTCAGCCGGCGACGGGCGCCGGGCGCAGGGCTATTGTCGCATTTGATTCATTACCGCAATGTTACGAATTATTATTGTTACTGATAGCGAAATTAATTTCTCTCTCGCCGTTTATTGTTGGGGTTTAAGGGTTATTGAATAGCTTAAAGCGCTTTTTAGCTACGTTGGAATCTGTGAATTATTTGTGTTAATATTGCTGTAATTAATATGTTACCTTTGTTCGTTAGAGCTGAATAATCGCCTGTTTTTCATATATTAAAGCTGAAATATTGTCGTTTACATGTCTTATTCTTCAAACAATTATCTTGTACTAGCTTACGCCCGTGACTCCGTCCTCGTGGGATTAAATAAAACAAAAGTGAGAAGCCTATGCGTTCTTCCAGGCTATCTTCTATACCGATACTGAATTTCATCGAAATCCTTTCAGCTGTTTAGGCTACAAACTCTGATAAACATCCATCTAAACTTTCGCATTTATAATATTAATATAATTAATGATTTACAGCTTGATGTCGAAATTGAGATTTCAATCACTAAAAAGTGAAATCAATACACGAACGCATTCTCGAACGTACACAACAAAATCATATCGTGTAAATGATAAATCATATACTCAAAGCGTAGAAGCGCTAACGTGTCGGTGCCAACATAACAACTTAGCCATGATTTATTGCATTGTTACGACAAAATTAATTTTACACGTCTCCACCGCCGCGTCTGACTTATAATTTATTCTCTTTCAAATCTCTGGAGAAAGTAAATTTCCTCTGCGTATACTTTGTGAATCGTACTTTGAGTATTACTCAAAATTTATTAATAATTCTGAATGCTACACTCAAGTCCTTCAATAGTTATTTAAGCAGTCCATTAGAGTAGATTTAACATTTTAAAGTTGCAAATTTTCACATTGGGCTTGAAGCTTTAAAATATATACGTATTGCTCTATACATACTAAAGTTTTCAAGTTATTTTTTGGTAATTTCGACAGTCTGTCCGGTGCAGTAAGCAGAGTACATAAGTTCGTATATTTAGCGGCTGGACTTTAATTTATGGACCAATAACGACGACCGCCGATGTTTTTTTATTTATCAGTGCATGAGCCGCGCGGTGTAGCCACATAACTCATTTGTAATCTACCGACATTGAACCACAATGAAATACTATTTTGAAAAATATTATAGAAAATAAGTTACGTATTTTAGCATTTATGTTTAAAGTCACTTAAGTATTTGAATTTTGAAGTAAATTATTTAGTTAAACTGATAATATAAATTAATTTACACAAACGTGGCTTAAAAGTAACAATAAGAGACTTATTAAAAAGTACCGCTGGCCGCTAATTCTTCAAAACAATGACAAAGAATGGCAAAACGTAAGCTACCTTCCAGTAGGGAAAATTCCACTTAAAATCTCTACAACCAGGTAATTACCTCGAACAAAGAGGGATTTGCGGACGTACAAATACATTACATACAAAAATTTAAAAAAAAAGTCGTGTGCAAAAATCGTGTTTACGTAAATATGCGTTTTTTTTCTTGAATATTATGTAAATCTAATTTTATAAATATGTGTATATTGTAACATGCCAGATTAAAAATAAAATCTCATTTAAAAAAAATGTTATTGTTACCTAAAGTTACATAACTTATTATTGCTTATACTCAACCTGTCCCATTAAACTTTCTAAACTTCATTATAGAAACAACTTTGATGTAACGAAGAGCGTTCTCAATCTAAATTAGTTAATTTTCCGGGGGTTCTCCTTTCGCTGCGATATCATAGGCGGCTTAAATTACATCTCACGATACCTTGGAGAAATCTTAGCTGACGAATAAGATGTTCACAAGACTTTCTAGTAATTATATGTAGTGCTTAGCGCTGCTGATGCATTACTAGCTATTGGTTACCTTCGTTAAAATTGTTATTAATATAGTCACGTAATAATCAGCCAAAGGGAAATAAAGGCCACAGAAATGAAAACAGGCTACAGAATTTTCTTTATTTGCGTCCTCTCCTCCATCTGTTAAATGTAGACAACGGATCTGCAATTGCGGATTTCTACAGGCAGTGGCCGGTTGCTCGTTTGCTACCTTTTGATATATAAATATGTATTGTCAAAGATGATAGGTAACTGTAACAGTGGTAGAGGCCGCTTTAACATCTTAGCACGAATGGGCCGGCTCGCCCGTTTTACCACGACCACACAGAATACAGGCGTGAAATGGAAGCAATTCCGTGTCTCCTAATTTAAGTCCATTTCTCTTTGCCAACCTTTTCTTATAAGGAGAGGATGGGAAGGGCAAGAGGATTTGACGTTGGAGGAGATGCTTAAGAAGAGGAAATATCCTCTTTATGTGTGTCTCCTCCTCCGTCGGATAAGGGTAGGCAACGCATCTGTAATTGCGGATGGGCAGCGGTCGCTTCGCCATTTTGGCGGATTCAGGTGGCCGCTTGCTCGTTTGCCACCTTATGTTATAAAAAAAATAGGTGCTACATTAGTGTTGATAAATATAAAATGAACACACGAATATTGCAAGAAAGACCTTGGAAAATCATTTAGACATTCATTATGGGTGTGTCTAAAGCCTCACTTCTATTAGTAATATAGTAACTTTATCTTTTACTATAATTATGTATGAAATTATAGCTTTAAACTAACATCTGCTAGGAATCATTTTCCAGTATTTGACCCTCTGTCTGGCTTGTCCAGTCTGTCGGTAACTGAGTTAACAAACACTGCTATCTAAAGCTACGCATATCAAAGTGTTTACCAAACAACCCGCTGTTGGTTTGCCAAAGTTTAATTCGCTCCGTCAGTAACTTTAAGACTGTTGTGAATTCCAGTTGAAACGGTTCTGCTTACAGAAAGTACTGTTTGTTAGTACTGGTTTGAATAGTAAATTTATCTACCTGTGTTTTCGGAACAAATTATGTAAAATATTTTTTACAAACGGTTGTAGTTTATTTACTGTTCGAATAATAAAGAAGGTAATGCTCGGTCTACCTTCTTTTATGTGAAACCAATACTCACTTTAGTCAAGTCAATTATAATTAGAATTTAGGTTTATTTTTGTCATGTGACAACAAATCTGTCTGCTATAAATGTGTCCTACATTTTTATTCCTTACTTACCTTATTCATGTATTATTATTATATTATAATTATGCAAACTTATTGGTTTTATTATAAAACGATGTTTAATTGGTTCTCGATCTAGCTACGATACTGTTATTTAGTCTATCATTTGATTTAAAATTAAATTAACAAATTCATTCTGAATAACAAACATTCGTATATTCGGACACTATTAATTAATTTACCACAAAATACCTATCTAATAAAGTGTTCAATTCAAATTCGTGTCCACTAAGCACCGCAGAGCATTAACCGGCTGCAGAGCTTTATCACAATTAACTAGCGGCCAGCGTCCCCGCCCGCTGGAGACAATCGTACCACATAAATATACCGCTTTATTCAATATTATGATATTTATTGCACTCCAGCTATGCGAAGTATTTGAAATACGAGCTACGTTCGTTAGTTCAAATACGTAGCGTACGTTTGCGTATCTTCTTCGTACAATTTTTCATTGGTTTGTTCATATTAGCCAGAAAAAAGCACCTACTTAGTAATAATTTCTCATACTAAATCAACACTAAATATCTCCGTTAGTGACCATTAAAGGACTCAGTATTAGGTAGTGAATTAAAGTTATTTGTCGTATTTATGTAAATCAGATGCGTATATGTCAAGTGTAATATTTTGAATTTTGATTTATCCACTTTAAATTCATAAAACCAATAGAGGAAATTTCACAGAGGGTGGAATATATTTTTAAAAGGATGGCGCCCTCTAGTGGTAGTTGCCTTGCTAATACCACTTGCCCAGAAGGATAGAAATTACTTTGGTATAATAACAAGGCTAATGCAACTAAACTGTGGAGAAATGAAGGTATATGAAATTGTTTGCCGCAACCAGAGGTAACAAACATTTTATGCTTTTGGTTGGTTTATACAGTCAATTTCGATACTTATAGTTTCGGAGAGATGTACAAGACTTGATCTATGTACGAGATTTTTTCTTTGACATCAAAACCTCTTGCATTATAGATCACAGCTTATTTACATAAACGAACGAATCGTTGCAATAGTTAACATTAATGGAATTTGTTAACTATTCAGGGTGCTTGCAGGTATTAAAATTATTGTTCAAATATAAAAACTTTCCAGCCATAAACGCGCAGTTCAGTACCCCTGACTTATGCCTTTGTAGCAAATGCCGCCGAGGCTTTTTGCGTGGAAATCGGGTAATAATATTTCCAACTCCGTGAACAAAGAGCCTTCCTTCTGTTTGAAGTGAACGTCATGGAAATTTGTCGCAAAATATGTTATCATCTTTTTGAAAAACTTTTCCCAGTTCGTTTTTCCATTGTTTATAACTTTTTTTATTTATTAAATGACAAAGGTAGCTTTTATATATTTTCTCGTCTTCTATTAACAGATCAGGACCAGACTTTTAATGAAAACTTATACCCTACTGTAACACTCGATTCATTTAATTTTTTTGTTTTTAATTCCGTCTTTTAAAATAATGTAACTCTGGAATCGTAAAACCACTTTTGTACAGCTCAGTGCCCATAAAATATTTATTCATGACAATTTCTAAAAAGGAAATCTTAACTTTAATATCTAAATGTCTGAATGTCCTACTATAACAATATCGTTAACTTATCTCGGAACAGTCCCACAGTTAAACTGAACGACTGTAGTTAAAACTTGCATCGTCGATATCGCAAGTCGCTAGATCCAACGAGAGGAGGTTTTAAAACCGTCTTGGCACCAGCTACAAATTTAATCAAAAGAAAATGTAGGGCTATATAGTTCGCAGTAGGCAGCGAAATTGCTCAGACGATCGTGTCGCCAACCTTGTGGGCAACTTGCCCGGAACATAGCCATCGTAAGTAATATTTAAACCATAAAACATGTGTACTACGCCTTACACCATAGACTAAGCCGTAGAAGTGTTGAAATTAATTTATGCGATGGGCTTTTCGTACTCTTAAATTATATCTGGACTTGTCTTGTTCTAAAAACAGTGTTTATTTAAATATCTGTTTTTAATTTTAATTAAAATCAAAAGGAATAAACATCCTTTTAGGTCATAATTGGTTACTAATGAACCATTTAATTACGGATTAAAGTCAAAAACAGGTTGTAGTACTTAATTACCTTTCTTTGATGTGCTACGCTACGTAGTTAATAATAATATTTTACTATAACAACTCAGCAAAAAGCTATTACTGAAATGTTTAAAAGAATGCAATTTTAAGAATTTGTTAAAATAATTTTCTTGATTGAAATATTATTAAATAATTATTATTGTAATATTATATGATAATTAATATGTAAACTCTGGAACATCCTAATTTCCAAATTAAAATTTCAGAGTCGAGAGAGTTTGTCGTCGGACGGCGAGGGCGCTCGAGGCGACTGCTCGTCAGTGGGGTCCTCAGGGTCGGGGTCTGAGGAGCAGCCGCCATGCGACATCGGTCTGCTAGAGCGGCTCATCAGGACACATCCTGTTTGGTTTCTGCCCGGGATACAGAGGGCTGGGGCATTTCATTTACTCCAGGGGAAAGAGGAAGGGGTACGTGTTTTGTCGTATACTTTGTCCTTTCCTTCCATTGCTCAAACTTATAGAAATTATCTATGGTATATCTCTTAGTGTTCGATGACAGTTTTATTTTGACATTCATTATTTCATTTTCAGAACTTCGTAGTCCGACAGTCGAGTCAGCCGGACACGATGGCGATCAGCGTACGCCTGCCGGCGGACAAGGGGCCGTACATCGAACATTACCTTATCCAGGCTTCCGGCGGCCGCATCGGACTCGAGACCTCACACAACCGCTTCGACAACATACCCGAACTCATCGCACACTACTCGCAATGCTGGTAAGTGTTAACTCACGCTCTAAGAATCATACAATAGTTCTTTAAGTCTTAAAATCTCTATAGTAAAATGTAAAAAATCAAAATAAGGATTTCTTTTTCAATTTCCTTCATATCCTCTAAATCTAGGCAGAACACTCAAATGTTTATCGAAGTTATAACATTTCTCAGCTTCTCGTAACATGTCAATAGAAACATTCTCTCTGTTCCTTGTTTTAAGCGTAATAGTAAGTCTATTTACGTGGTTGTAAACGGTTTACGATAACACTAATCTACTTTGTAACCGTCCCGGCTTTGAACGCCTAATCCTATACGTTTTACTGCCGATACATCACTTTTATCCATTTCACGTTTAAGCTATAAATAATTTTGTAGCTTAAACGTGCTCTAGTCGAATTAAGGCTACATTTGTAGTGATCATTATAAGCAATTTGATTTATGCAAAGTATAAGTATAGTAAAGGAGTCTTCATAGATTATAATATCTCAAAGCAAAATTTAGTTATCAATTATTTTGTTTTCAGTGACGAATTACCAGTTCAGCTGCAGTTGCCCCGCGCTCTACGTGAGGCCAAAAGTCGTCACCAGCTCAGTTCGCTCACGCTACTGGGCCAGGAGTTCTGGGGGTATCCAATGGCCAATCCTAAGAACAATCCGCAGAATGTGATGTCGCCGTGCCAACTTGCTAATGGCGTTATACCGATGGCGGTTACACCCTCTGATACCGGATCTAGTCTGAGCAGTTTTAATGCCAGTAAGTGGGATTATTGCATGAATTTATGCTTAAAAATAAATATGTATAAGTAAAAACTCAACCGTTACTTTTCATTGTTTCGATTCGATTCGATTTCGAATGCAATATTGTTTCGATTGATTGAAAAATTAAAAAATAACTTTTTCTAAAATTTTAGGCGCTGGAGCGAATTCTCGTGAGCATATTTTTAGTCTTGAAAAGGAACAAAATGTAGTATTAAAAATGTCACCAGTTGATACCTCCGAGTCTCCGCCGAGCCAAAGCCAAAGCCTCAGCACGTTCAAGGGCAGGAGCGCGCCCTCGCCTCCCGCCAAGCCCAGCGGGAACTTCGTCCGCGCGCCCAGGCCCACGCCACCCAACACGCTTAACCTCCTCTCAAGTACAGTGAGTAAAGTTAATATTACAATCTAGCAGCTTATCGGTGTCTTTTTCTAATTTGAGTTTAATCAACGCTTGACATCTTTTCAGGCTCATATCACACAACCGCACACATTTCCTACGACAAACGCTCATTCACCGACACAGACTAACAGTGTAAAAACAACGCCCCCTCCGCCCCCGCCGAGATGGGCTAAACCACCTTTTACAAAGATGTCTTTGTCTCCAAAGTCAGAGACACATTTGTTCAATCCAATCAAAAATGGAAACGTAACCGTTACCACCGCGAACAACTCACACGTACAGAGTAACAACATGCTAGAGAGAACACACGATCGATCGCAACTAACGCTTACGTCTAACGCCGCCAGCATTAATAGCAACGGTGCAGGAGCCAATGTGGACGTTGTCAAAAGCTTGTTCGAATGTAACGGGGACACACAGGTAAGAAACACTACACGTGATTCTGCATGTCGTGTGCATAATTTGCATGATATTAATTTATATATTTTAGTTATATTTATACAGCCAATTGCTCTTAATATATTCTAACCTAAAATATTTACTTGTATTTAAAAAAAGGTGTACACTGATATGATTATTCCTGTTCCTATATAGAATATGACGCATCGTCAGTCACCAGAAGGGGAATGTGTCAGAGCCGTTACGACCTCCTTACACGGCAGCTTTAAAAGCCAGAAAGTCGAACAAAATATTGAATCTGGATCTCCTGTAGAACCGCAATCTCAAACAAATACTTCAGAATCTGTAGATCCGATCGTCAATTCTTTATCTAAATCCAATAGCTTTGATCCAAACCAACTAGTTTCACCGAATGGCACGAACTCCGTCACCAGTGGAATATTTTCTCCGACGAGTCAAATCAATTCACCCGTATCTAATGATACGATATCTTCTAAAAGCGGAGTTTTCTCTCCGTCGAGTCAGACCAATAAAAGTGACATATTTTCACCCGTTTCCAGAAGTTCACCTATTTCTAATAAGAACGTATTCTCTCCTACTTCGAACCAAAATATTATATCTCCCGCGATAGGAAAAGTGTTATCTCCCAACATGAATACAACGAGTACTACGCCATCTGGCAGATCCCGGAGAAGCAAACATTCCCTACGAAAGGAATCCAGACACTACCAGGTAGGGTGAAGGCATATTAGTAATTCGATAGTATTAGAGAGATAGTACGCTAACGCAATATAAAAATGTAAGGAATATATCGTACAAATTATATTACGTCTAGTAAAAAAATATAGCATGCACAATTCATCACGCGACGTATATATTGTGTGTAATGTACTATATTTACTAATTGCATGACAATATAATCAAGTATACTCATCAATTGTTATAAATATATTTTAATAACTCATATGTCAATAATAATAAAAGGTTATATTTATTTCAGGAATCAGATATTCTTGAATCACCTGGTATTTATTATAGAAGTTCTTTAATGGATAAAGTCAGTGATTATGAAGATATTTGGGGTCCTGAAGGCAATAATTGTACTACATTCAAACCGTTGAAATCCGAGAATGATAGTAATTTTAATAATGGATTAATGAAAAGCAAACGACCAGATTTACTTCCAGACACATTGCGTAAGTATATATTTTTAAATTTTTAAATAAAGAAAATTACAAAAAATATCAAAGCATGAACAAGCCACATCTAAGCTACTGAATTTAAATAATTTAGGACAGCTATAGTTATATCTAAACATTTACTTTTACAGCAAAACTCAATGCAGCAAAAAGTACCCAGTCAATCCTAGAAAAAGAAAATATCCATCTTCTAAATTCTACCGAAAGTCTAATCGAGAAGAAAAATCTTTCTGATAGTTCGTTAAAGAAAAGTTTCAATGGGTCGTGTGAAATAATAGCAACCACCAATAGTAAAGGAGAGATTGTACCAAAAAGACCCGACAAACTGAACATTTCTACGAACATGAATAAGAAATTAAATGAAGAAATCGAAGCAGCTTTGAAGAGTAGAGAGAATTATAGGACTGAGAGTATGGAGACTGTAAAGCTAGAGGATGATACTAAGGAAACTATTTCTGAAGATACTGACAAAGACAACGCTGGTAGTCCATTTTACGCTGATCCTGTCGACGCTTTGAAAGAGGTAAATAGGTTTTAACTCACTTGATAGTGTGATTTTGTTTTCTCTATGAATAGTAATAATGAATTCATTATATTATAGGCTGCGCTTCCACAAGTGCAAAGAAGAAAACTATTGCGAGTCGGCATGAACTTGTCGCAGCGGTACTCAGAGCCACCGACACAGAACCACCCGTACTATCCACTCAGAGACATGCATAGTATTGAAGAACTGTCACGTAAGTATGGAAATACTCTACTTTTTACTGCATTTACTTAAGTCAAAAAGACCAGCGAAAGAAGCGTTTAGAGCAGGTTTTCTAATAATAATAATGATAAATTAGGAATATCCTCAAAAACAATCCTAAATCTCTTGCATATAAATGCTGGTATTCTTTATTATAAAAATATTATTGTTTTCATTCAGCCTCGTCTCCAAATACGTCAACATCAGTGGATAACCTGGTGTCGTTGCGGACGAAGCCGAAGATGCGAGCCGTGGAGCCGCCGCGCGTCTGCAAGCCGCCGGGCAAGGCCGACCAGCCCTGGACTGTCGACTCCAGCTGGCAGTTTATAAGTTAGTATACCTAAACATATTAAAATACCCAGAATTTGCACTTCTTGCACAGGAATTTGCTAACCACAAGCTAATTCAGGCGTCGAGTAATATGCTATGACAAAAGTAAAAGGAGCAAAAATATATTTCCTCGTCCTCGTCGCCATATTGCTTCATTTGATCTGTGGTATGTTGTTTTCCTTGTTCTATAGCATACTTCTTTGAGAAGTATTTTTTTTTTGTCAGTGTTAAATCTGGAATGGTTTTTTTAAGTCGGTAACTATTGCGCGTTGGATATTTTACTTCAATGAATTATTATGATTATAAAAGATAATTCTTTATTTGATAGATAAGAACGAAGAAGGAGGGCCAGGAGGTGCGGGCAGCGTGGGTGAGAGCGGCACGTTCCCATCACTGGCAGAGCAGGAGCGGCTCGGGGCTGACGACGCGCTGCGCCTCACCGTGCACCAAGTCGTCGCTCATAAGTAACTTGCCTTCAATACAAGTCTTTCTTTCTATCTTCGTTTCTTCATTGATAATTTGTATCTTCCACTAAATAAAACCGAAGGATACTATTGTGGCATGTTCTTCAAGTTCAGATAGATGTCAAATTGGCATAGTGTTTCCGGTTGTGACGTAGACGTGGGCGCATAGTTGAAAGGAAATAAATATTGGAATTACTACTCAGGTTTCCCGAGTTGAAGTTGAACGCGGAGCCGGTGGCGTTGCCCGAGGAGCCGCGCTCGCCGCCGCGCGCCTCCTGCTACGACAATGTGCACGATCTGAGGCCCCTCTCTGAACAGGTAAACACATTTAAGATACCATCTTTACAGGTGTTATTAGTTCACATGTACAAGATTATGAATTTTTTATCGTCGACAAAACTATTAAAAAAGACATCTTACAATTTGAAGTGTAACTGTAACTGTTTGCCCAATAGGCGAGTGACGACGGCACAGTATTCTCGGAGCCGTGGGACAGCTCGCAGTGGGACGGCCTCATTCCTCCCTGCAATGGAAACCAAGCTTATGAAACTGTAAGTTATATTGACATAACTTCTTAACTAGTCGTCTTGCCATATATTGTCATTTTTCTCTTATTAAAAACTCTTCTAATAGTATATTGTACCTTATCCCATGATACGAAAAACAAATGACGTATGTGCGAAGGACTGGTTATAAGTTCTTTTTACATGTTTATTGTAATAATAATATTATGTTTGTGACCCGAACGCGACGTACCTGATATCTCGAACACTAAGCTTCTATACATCTTGATACTTCATCTATATCTGTGTTACAAAAAGGACTGCGTGTCGTTGATCCTAAGCAATAAAAGTAAAACTTTATTTAAATCTGTTTATGACTCAGCGTATCATTGACTTTAAAAAAATGTAAAAAAATAACATTACTTAGAATCTCTTTAGAATGTTTATTTATTTGCCATTTGTTGAAAACAGTTTAAAAACAGACATTAGTATTATGGATTTATATACCTACCGATTCTTTTCACCAAACATTACATTAAATTGTGCAATACAATAATTGTGCTAAATCTTTAAGTCTAGGATAAAAGAGAACGAAATGTTCTTAAAATCGGGAGCCTCCTAATGGGGTTATATATCATGTTACTGGATAATTTTTCTTAATAGTACTCTATTGTTTGAAGTAATTATGAGGTCACTTGATCAAACAGTTCGGGTGCAAGTAAAGTCTGCGGCCGTATCATAATGACGCGTGCTCCTCATTAATAACATTAAAATACATAAACTAGCACGTGATAATAGATCTAGTACATTATTGTAATTGTTAGACATTAAATTGATTTATTGACTTATATTTAACTCACGTATACGCATTTGCAAGTCAAACTAAAAGCATGCACTGTGACTAAAATATTGTACAATTGTTTAGTCTCGTTTTGATTCCTATGAGCTTGCATGTGCGCATATTATTCGATATTTAGTTGTGCAACTAAACAGTTGAATTGGCTGCGAAACAATCGACAATCGCACAACGTTGTAAGATTATTTTGTCAAATATGTACGCGCTCTAACTGTATACTCTGAGTTTGAAGTAAAATGTGAAATAGATATAAAAAAACATTTTTAATAAGACTAGGTTATGGTAGCTGCCTCTCCCTAGACTTAGTCTAGATCATCGGCTAGCGAAGCTCATAACCTTTGTGAAGTGTTTTATTCTACTAATTTTAATTATTCAGTGTTACGCGAGACTGATATCTATAAATAAACCACCTTGAAAAAAATACTTTAACATTCCTTTTTTGCAAAAAATATAAAAATAAAACAACCAGACGGCAATGACTTCTGGTATTTAAACTTTCACAAAAAAAATACTTGAAAAAAATATATAAAATTTCTTGTCTTGTTCACTCTCGAGCTTTTATTTCAATTCGTTTCTTTCCCACGCGATTTTTATTGAATTTGCAGCCTTATAAGGGTCTGTGATAACGATCTAGTTAATTGAAAACATTAACAAAACGCAGTTAGTTCTATTTATAAAGTTGAAAAGCGGTTAACGGTAAAAATTCGATAATCGACATCCGTGAACTAATTCCCATGTTTAATTTGTTATGTAAACATTAATTTGTATAGGTAATACAATATTTATTGTTCCCTTTAACCAATTTACCATTCATCGTTTACTCGAATTAATATAAATAAGTAGTACAAAGAATATCTTGGAGATAAGACATTAAGTTATTTTATAGTCATAAGCAATATCCATTTTCTTTCCATACTTATGAATAAATAAAAAATATGCATAGATTTTAATTACATTTTCATCAAATCATGGCATCATTGCTTTCTTGATGTTGGCAGCAACTTATGGTCTCTTTCCCACATTAGGGTTTAATCAAAAATATTTACCTCTTAAGTTTAATCAAAAAAAAGTTATTCAAAAATATGCTATAATTTCTGACATCTTAGGCAACAAAGAAGTGTGTGTCTACGCTTTATTATAATAGTATAGATAATTATTATTGTTCAAAAGGACGAGGCCTGCGAGTGGGAGTCACCGGTGCCGCGGCGGGCGCCGGCGTTGGCGGCGCGCTCCAAGAGTTTCCGAGATCGCCTCGATCCCCTATTAGGTGAGCGTAGTTTGTTAAAGTATAATCTCTTATTATCTACTGACGTTAGGCCGTTTAAAATAAAGAATATTAATATAAACAGATATTTAAATTATGTCATGTTTGAAATATTATAGGATTTGAACTCTGGTAACAAGTAAGGTAGCACTTTACGTAGAAATTAATGACAAAAGTAAATGATTAAGACATAAAAAAGTACTCGTCCTATAAAACAAAGGTTGAATAAACAAAAACTCATTGTTTATTAATGAATAATCCTTACTGACTGATTTTATTATGTGTGCGGTAATAGTGCGATTTCTAGTTATGATTTTAATACACAGAAGTTGTCCTGGCAGTCAGCACGTTCGTATGGATTCAATATAGTGTTACCTTTTAGTAAAAAAGTGCTTAAAAAACTAAAGAACATTTCACTTAGTCATAGTGTATGTAATTCACTATCATATAGTAAACATACAAACGTCGTAAAACATAAACAGGTGTTTAAATAGTTGCTCCTTGACAGCAATAAAAATGTAACCAGTAGTGATAATTAATAGGCAATGATCCGATTCGTAAACATTGGTGTTTCACACGCGGCCGCTCGGTCACAGCGCCCTCGCGTGTTTAAGATAATTAATGACTCATTACGTATAATTATGAAATTAATTAACTTTGTAGAGTAGCAACAATGGGACCGCTGCACCGCTTATCAATAACGACTTTAGCTATGCAAATAAATTAACAATAGTTAAAGGGTAAAGGTCTACGCGTGCGGGGTTGCCGCGCTCGTAGCTTGAGCTCAGTCTCTCCCTGACACTCGTGCCCGCCGCCTGGCTGTTGTACGTTCAGCGAGTGATATTGTGTGAATGAGAAATTACCGATTCAAATCGTTCCTGCACGCGGGAAGAAACCGCAAAGTGATCAGTCATGAAGTGGTTCAAAAAGTTGTTCTCAGGAAAGTTCGTGAGGTCGACTGAGTCGAAGAGCGAATCCCCTTTCCAAGTGTGGAAGAAGAATATAAAGAAATTGAAATTCGAACGCGTACAGAATACAGAATTGAACGCGCGTCAGATTCTGGATATGGTGATACCGTCGGATGAAGAAATATGTGCGGTGACGACTATACAGAATTTTAGTTGTGATGATATCGAGCAATTCGTATCGGAAAGTGACTGGGTGATTGTGACGAAGGAAAAATTTCTAGAGCCAAAGTTTCAACAACATCTGGCAAGTAAAGAGTCATTAAAAAATCTGTGTAAAAAGTCCAGAGAGGGTGGTCTGAATAAGAAACGTGTGGAGGTTATCGCCAAGCCTCCTGCGTGTCATTGCAAGGAATTAAAATCTAAGGAGGTTAAAAAACCATCAAAAAACCCGTTGCGAAGATTTTTCGAAGCTATCAGAAATATATGTAGACGTTTATGTAGAAGAATAAGGGATTGTCTAAAATTTAGAAGTGCTCAAGAGAAAGACGAAATTAAAGAACATATATCAGATGTTATTCATTCGTATGAGTGTAGGTAATGATTTATTTTATATTTCTCATACTTTAATTAAATAATTTAAAACAAACATAAATGTAGAACATTCAATTTTTTACATTTAAAAATGCAATCGTTTAAATATCATTGATTAATAACCTATAAAATAATATATAAAGTGAAACTTAATTACATGTCAGATTTGCAAGGGATCTTTTAGCTGCAGATGTCGGTACAAAAAACTATTACCTGCTCCACTCCGATATTACTAAAGTCAGCTGGCAAGCATCGCACATTTTCGACTTGACTTGTTGTTTACTATGTATAAAATTAACATTCATATGTACTTAATACCAGTTAATTATCAGATTTAAAATTAAATGAAATTAAAAAATAAGAAATCCGACCATAAAAGCTTAGTTGTACAGATTAAAACATTCATAAAATGTTCTAAGACACACATTGATAACAAAATTGACACAACTCAAATACAATACAATTTAGCAGCTGCTAACACGCCACGTGCCATCTGCGTGCCATTCTTCCCATGTTCACAATTCATATTCAAAATTCAAAGCATTTGACTTACAAATGCAATCGTAGTTTTTATATTTGCCGCTTAAACTTACAACCGTGCTGGCTTAAACGACCCTACGACTAACTAAAGAACTAGCTGAATTAAAAATTAATAAACGTTATTTTTTAATTTTGCAAAATACATTTGGTGTTTAGTTCAAATTAAATTACAATGTTTTAGTTAATTTGTTACAAGTAATAGGTATAGTTGAGCAAAGATTAGCTTAGCTAACTCAATTGTAAATATTGTGATTATAGTGTCTGAAAAGGATACGAACAGGAAGGAGGAGGAGAAGCTCGCGGATAATGTGAAGGAAATTAAAATAAAAACTTAACATAAAAACGAAATGAAAATTTATATACTCGTACAAAAGGGAAAATTATAAACAAACAGCCTAGCAACCATTGTAAGATTTTATTGAAGAATGCAAAATTACAAAAAAAGAACAGATTTAAAACTTACGTTCTAATTTTAAAATTCTGTAAAAAAAAGTAAAAATGTATCAAAAATGCTTATTGCATTGCCAACAGTGTCAATATAAAACTGAACATTTCTTAAATAGATAATTTTTACATAACCATAATTTCAAATCCAAGCACACGTTCTTAATAAAGATAATTACGTAGCATATTACAAGCAAATAAACCTTGCTGTAACTCCATGAGTAAACATGAGTCTTGGAATAGTAAAACAATGGAATATGATTATACAATTCTGTTTAACCATATAAAGGGTATTACGTAGAATAATAAATAGGTGAGCTGTTATAAATTAAATAAATAAGACTCCGCTAAATATGCATAACCATTATGTACGTATGTAATTATTTTAAAGCGCCTATAGTCCAGTGGTTAAGATTAACAGTCATTCTCGTGGTCGTGGGTTCGAATCACGAGACAATTAAATAAACCATATTCTAGTACTTAATAGTTATTAGAAAATATTAATAAAACGAACTTTCTTTGCCCCCAAGTCTCAGGGAGTGAATACACACGTTTTGGGTTTGATCAGAAAAACAAGTATAATTTATTAGAACACGATGTTCACTGTAATAAAGATTTTATCGACAATTTTTTATTTTATTTTATTTATTTTATTATTGTTTTATATTTTATCATTTTACAAATCGGATTCTGTTTACGGGTCCGGTCATTCACGTGTAATCTCTCTTTTATTTATAGTCTTGATTTTTAACTGTTTTTGTGCAAACGAATTTCGAATTTCATTTAATTACAGATTTATTTATCGTGAAAATGATAAGTGTTTATTACTAACGACAAATTGATTTATAAAATTCTCTTCTTTTATCTCCGATGCTAGTAATTGGTTGGCTTAGCTCATCATCACTATTATGTCACCACTGACGGGCTCAGATCTTACCCTAAGTTAGGGTGTCTAGGCTTTTTGGTGTTTGCCTTAATTGTTACGATCCGAATGTATTAATAGTCGGTTTGCCTTCAAGCAGCGGCGGGGCGGGTGCGGGCGCTGCGCGGGGGGCGCGGTGCGCGGGGCGCGGGCGCGGCGCTGCGGGCGTACGCGCTCCACCTGGCGCAGGACAAAAGCACCACCTTTGCGCAGAACGTCGACAACTTCATAGCCTGCACACTCGACTCCAAGGAAACATGCCCACAGGTAACTATCGATTCTTAGAATCATTGTGTAACGAAGTTTGCTTTATAAACATACGAGCTGTTGCCCGCGACTTCGTCCGCGTAGTATTAGAAAACATACAAACTATATAAATTACAAAAAGTTACGTATCCCTCGGGAACCGGACATTTCTCGGGGATGAAGCTTATCCCATGTGTAGACTTTGTTTTATATCTGTGTCAAATTTCAATAAGATATGTTGAACCGTTGCAGAATGATCGAGTAAACATTAAAAAATTAAATTAATGAATCCCACGGGAACCGTAACTATTCCCGGGATAAAAAGTAGCCTATGTGTTCTTCCAGGCTATGCTCTAAACCTATGCCAAATTGCATAGAGATCCGTTCAGCCGTTTAGGCTACAAACGCTAACAAACATCCATCCATCCATTTATCTATCCATCCATCCATCTAAACTTTCGCATTTATAATATTAGTATTAGTAAGACTAGTAAGATGTAGTTGTAAAGCCCCCTAGCAATCATCTGAAGTCTCCCTTAGCGGGCACAAAATCATAAAATTGCGCTAAGGGATTTCCTAAATAGCTACTTGAAAATTCAAAATGTTTAAAATTACTTTTAAAGGTGTTCAAACGTTTTGTGTGTTTTCAGGTGATGATGCGAAATATGAGACAGTTCATGTCCGGTATGAAGAACTATCTTGTCAAGCACGGAGAAAGAGAATTTGAGAAGGAAGTAGAGAAAGAGAGACTTAAGGTAAGTTACCAAAACAACGTCCGTGATAATATTCGATTGCTTAAAAGAATTAGTCAGTTTAATTGTGTATGGTAATTAATGTTATGTTGTTTGCAGTTAAAGCCGACGGAATTCCTGAACCTGGATGCGATCCTGGAGGGCGTGATGCACCGGCTGGTGGTGCGGCCGCTGCGCGCGCGGCTGTACGCGCTGCTGGCCGCCTGGCACGCGCCCGACCTGCGCCGCCTGCACGCCGCCATCGAGCGCGCGCACCACGCCACGCCGCTGCAGCTCGGCGTAAAGGTGCATACAGCTTGCTCAACTTTTATTTAATAGGGCCCGTCGCATAAAATTAAATTAATTTAATATAAAGCCTAAGCTCATAAAATTGATAGTAAGTATCTTATACTATGTTAGTAACAGAACAGAATATAACTAATATTTTCCAATTACAAAATTCAGTGAGCAGAGTGTAACTTTAGACAGCTATTAAGGTGTCGGCAGTCAATGCTGCCGCTATCATACTTTCTGTCCTTATCAATAGATGGCGTTGTTAGTTAGTTGTAACTAGGTTCTATTTTATTTTGTTTTTCAAATATATCTTCTGTGAAGAATTGATGAGATCGTAATTAAGAATAGAAATTTTATTCTTTTCTTTAGGAATCCACAAAAGTACCGTCGGCCGCGGTACTGGCAGTCATCTCGAAGCATTTCCTTAAGATGCAGGAGGCGGACTCGCCACTGGACAAGCTGGAGAACCTCCTGGCCGCCATTTCTGTTATGTTTAATGCGGTACGTATAATGCGAACACTTATTTGTTACAAATATTGCGCTCTTTATCTTGAAGATGCATCATCTCGTCATATTTGTAAGACTAAGTCGTGCGTGGTGCAGATGCGGGGCTCGCGCGCGCTGGGCGCGGACGACCTGCTGCCGGTGCTGGCGTGGGCGGTGGCGCGCTGCCGGCTGGTGTGCGGCGAGCTGGAGGCCGAGCTGATGGCGGGGCTGCTGCCGCCCGCGCTGCTCGCCGGCGAGGGCGGCTACTACCTCACCGCGCTCTTCTCCGCGCTCGCCGTGCTCAAGCGCCTCGCGCCCGACACGCCCGACCAGCTCACCGACAACGCCGACACCGCGCCCGTCAGTACACTCTCGTTACCCAGCTAGCTACTCCCGTGCGGCTTCATCCGCAATTAATTATAAAAACTTTAGTTTATTGTTTACATTTGTGGTTTTTTTATTGCAAATGTCAAAATTCAAATGCACAAATGACAACGAAGGCCTTTGACATTGGACAACAATTACCGTCACCACCTTCCTTTGATGTTTAAACTTTTGTCCGTTTCCTGCATGACGATTTTTCCAAATTATTTACTCCCCAAGCTTAATAGCGCCAAAATATATAGCCTAAAGCATATCGTTAGAGCAGGGCTATTTATTAAAAAAAAATATTGAAACATATGTTGTGATTGCTTACGTCCTACATAACTAAACAGCGTGTATTTACGCTTCATTATTTTAGTATAGATTAAATCAAACGATAGATGGCGCTGATCACAAATTACAATTCATCAATCATCATCATCTCCTTATCCTACTCCGGCAGGGTCGGCGCTACAGGTTTTTGTCCTCCACATAACTCTATCATACGTCATCTCAGTCATCACTCCCTTTTTGATCATGTCACCTTTTACACAATCCATCCATCTCTTTCTAGGTCTACCTCTACCGATGTACCCTTCCACACTCATAACTAACGTTCTCTTTGTAACATGCGATTCATCCCTCCTCATAACATGCCCATACCATGCTAACCTTTTACTCCTAACCTTCTCTACAATGGGGGCTACTCTCAAACTTCGTCTAATATACTCATTTCGTATCTTATCCATTCGTGTTACTCCACACATCCATCTTAACATTCGCATTTCTGTCACATGTAGTCTCCTTTCATCCGTTCCTTTTACTGCCCAACATTCAGATCCATACATCATGACAGGTCTTACGACAGCCTTGTAAATTTTCCCCCTTTAATTTAAGTGGAATTTGAGGGTCGCATTCCATAAATTACAATTATAGTTGGTTTTTATCTGTGTTCTGCATGTTAAAAAGAATCTTGTTTGTGTCATCAGTGCCGGCGCGGGTCGGGGCCGGGCGCGGGGGCGGGGTGGGGCGCGGGCGGCGCGCGCGGCGCGGCGGTGGTGCGCGTGGCGCTGCCGGACGAGTGCCGCGGCTCCATCCGGCGCGTGGCGCTGCCGTGCCGGCCGGGCGCGCGCGCTCGCGACCTGTGCCGCGCGCTCGCGCACGCCGCCGCCATCACCAACCCACAGGACTACGCGCTCTTCGCCCTGCACGACGGACAAGGTAACACATATATTTATACAAAAAACACTTTCAAATTTTCATAATCAAAAATAATCAAAGTGTAAAATATTAATAAGATTCTTTTTGCAGAAACAATGTTGAACGAGAACGACTGCCCACAAGACGTGATGTCGGAGAAGAGCGGACAGAACTTCATCCTTGCTTACAAGAGGATAGACGCCAAAATCGCGTGGCCGCAGCAGGCGCTGCTCTCCTACCCGTAGGCCTGTAGGCCCTCGGAGCCCTAGGCTTATAGACCCGTAAAATCTCCTAGCCTTATCTCAAACAACGTACAATCTCTTAACTTTATATTCATAATAAAAAAATCATTAACGTTCTTATGATGATGAAGTTGTCAAAATATGCTCATTACCAATTAGTAACGGACATTGAAAACTATATTTTTGTCATCTTAATAAAGTGATATTTTACTAAGATATTAGCAGACCGATTTTCATACGTTATCTTTTCTCGAAGTAAACTTAGCTTACCCTTTATCTATAAGTACATTGCAATTAGACAGTATTTTTAAAACCCCCGCTATTGTTATTCAAGATCCTTGCGTAACCTTTTAATAACGTAGCTTTTTTACCCTGATAGTGTGTAAGTACCCTTTTATATTACATTTGACTGAGAGATTTTGCATTTTCTCGATCGAAAAAAATCTTTTGTAAATTATGATTTTTATTATTTCGTAGAGTATTTGCGTGACCGTTTTGAATCATCGTTTCTATTTAAAACTAAGTATTTAGGAGCTGTAGAACCTTTAAAAGGTAAATACCAGGCGTACGTAGGTTTATGTTCCTAAAATTCGATGTACCCTGAACCAACTCACCAAATTGTTGTTTTTAGTTTTACGGATTATAATTTTAAGATTGTCAAAAGTCTTTTTAGTTTAATTTCTTTTTTTAATTATAATTTTAATCTGTATTCTAATATTTAACGCTAACTTGTTTATTGAACTGTGATGTAATTCGTATTAGTATTGTAAGTTTTGTATTAATTTTGTATATTCGTAGAGATTCTTAATATAATTTATTTAAAACGTAACATAAGGAAATGTATGACTCAGTGCAGTCGGATGAATAAGTTTTGGCTATCGTCATTTATGAAGTAACGCTTTTCTTAAGTGGCTGACGTCTGAGCCGAAATTTGTTCATCGAAACATAATCAGATATATCAGTTCTGCTTACCGTTCTATATATTACTTAACAATGTAAGGCTTTTATTCACTACAAAATAACCATGAAATCACACTGCCAAATAAGGAATACAAAAGATTTGTTATCTCTCTCTTTCTATTTGGGAAAAGTGAGATCACCAAATAATGTTTTGTTATCTCTCTTTCTATTTGGTAAAATTGAGATAACAAAATAATTTTGAAATGTGTCGAGTGCTAAATATTACTTACACTCATGAACCTCACCAAGGAGGTAGGAGGTACTATTATATGGAAACTACTTCGTATATTATTATTGAAAGTTTAAATAAAATTATATAACCTAAAACTATCTTTGATAATAGGAAGGTTTTAGGTTATTCTGTACTGTACCTCTTACCTCGAACCTATTCTAAAGCCAGCAACGCATTTGTTATTCCGCTGGTCTCACGTAGCCTTTTAACCCCGAAAGTCATATTAAAAAAAGGGACGCTGTAGAAATTCCATCCAGAGCACTGATTACTAAAACCGGAACTGCTCGTTTGTCCCCTATTTACATAAAAAAATAATAGAACAGTCGACAAGAAATACAAAAATATGATTTTTAGAGACGTTAACAGTAGAATTTCACTTGCGACAGATTTGTATTAATTATTGCTGTCTCTGTTTTGTCAAAGTGAATGAAAAGGATAACAATACGTGTGTTGCAACAATAAATGCATTAATATTCTACAGTTAAACGATCTTTAAAGCGCTCGCACACCTTTGACTAAACTTTCGCACAACTGTTTAGTCGCGCTTTGATTCTTATGAGCTTGCGAGGTGCGGACACTACTAGATTTTTAGTTGTGCAACTAAACAGTTGAATTGGCTGGGAAACAATCGACAATCGCATAACAGCAATGCGATAGTTACAATGCGCCCGCTCTTATACTCCGTTTTATGCTTTCCTATTCTGTCTACATTCCTAAATACTTGAAATGATTATTTTTGGCAATGTTACATATCGAATGATTTTGTAATTAAATCTAAATTACCTCGTTTTACATCTTGTAAGACTATTAACAACCTTAAAAATAAACGCGGTATAAAGTTAAATCGAGAAATAAACTGAGTATATATATACTTATATACTTAGTTTATATATGTTTATACTCAGTTTATTCCTAATACCGTTATAATAATAACTTTATACCGCGTTTATTTGTAAGGCGGTAAATGTTTATGAACTGAGGCGGACTGATTTTCTGAATATGTGTTCGTAGATACAGTGCCACCATACAATTTAGTCAACTTTTAAAATTTTTGAACATTCAATAAAGATGTTAAATGTAGTTACTTTGTGCTATTATCAATTTATTATATACTTAATAATAACGGCCTAATAATTAGCTAGATTCTTTGGCATAGCTAGACTTCTTTCGTATATTCTCTTTACATTTATGAATAGCTATTTATTCCACCGAAAATAAAATAATAGATAAGGAATTATTTAAATTTTCTAAATATAAGAAGTTATTATACAGCTTGGGTTTAGTTAGCAATACGAAATATTCAATTTTAATAATATTTTATAACCTTACCAGAAAAGAAAAAAGAACTAAATCATTATGTAATTAGAACGTCATATAAAGCCGAGAGGAACGCCCCTATGCTATTATCTTGGTTAGGCTCAAAACTTTAAACTTTTAACATTATAGGGTCTTTTTTCCATTTCGCACGATTTAGCTACTCTTATATGGCAACAATGTATAGTAATTTAAAAATATTTTAGAATACAAATGCACAGTTTTGGTCGTTAACAATTATTAATTAATTCACATGGTTTAATTCTACGAATTGAAATTATCTTTAAAACATTGCTGGTAATTAAAAATTCATTAAAATTAATTGTTTTTAAAATTAATAACAGTTAACTAGCTGTCAACAAAATCCGGTGTATTATGGTGGTACTGTACAAGTATGTATTTATTGCAATCATGTATTTTAAACTTAGTTATTATATAACACGTATATTGTGTTTTGATAACATTTTCAGTCATTTGTGAAGAATTAAACGAATTTTTACCAAACGTAATAATGATTTTCTTTTAATGTACCTCACCTAGCTCACTAAGACGATACACTCAGAAATTTTAGTGTTTTTGCATCCGATCTTTTTAGATACGAATGCGAGACATGTGCGTTGACTTGTGTATGGATCTGTCTAAATATATGCGATCCCATAATTCTCGGTTTTCGTTTAGACGAAGCGCGCAAACATCGACAAACGTAAACCCAGGGCAAATTTTTATTCACTTCTTCGTCTTCAATCTTTTAGATTTGAAGTTTCGTCAATACATGCTTAGCAATATTGATCAAACTCCTATAAACAAATGTAGCTATGGAAAGAAATTGCCGATCGTCATTTGTTACTCTTAATTCTTCAAGAAAGCTTCAATAACTCAGCATATATGCAAGCAGATATGCAAGCTTCGTATCCAAAGAAATATCCACGAACCCACTGGGACATGCTTAATGTAGAATATCCTATAAGAGTTCTTGAAAATGAAGATGTTTCGAGTGAATCTATGGCAAGGAAATGGAGACCAGAGCCTGAAGTGCTACAACAAACGGTAATGACAAATTTTTGAATCAATAGCTATAGTTAAATTGCAAAAACCGTATACCCAATTCTACAAATAATTTGTAATCGCAATTAAAGTTTTGTGTAATTTATGATTAACTAGCTTTCGTCCGCGACTCCATCCGCGTGGATATAAAAAATAAAAGTAGTTAAATAGCTTATGTGTTCTTCCAGACTGTGCTCTACATCTAAGCTAAATTTCATCCAGATTAGTACAGTTTAGGCTACAAACTCTAACAAACATCCATCCAACTATACTTTCGCTTTTATAATGTAAGATTTCAATGTTAACTTACAGAAATTCGATAGAGATATTCAAGAATATCGAGACTACAACGCTTATAATGAATGTATGCGGTCACAGACAACAAACGATTTTGGATACAAGATTCCTGAAGTTAAAAGATTTAATAAACATACGTCATGTCTTGAGAACGAATACATCTATCCACTAAGTAGACAGGTAAATGTATATTTTAGAAGTCTATAATCTATATATATATATATATACTATCTATTATAATAAAGCGTAAACACACACTTCTTTGTTGCCTAAGATGTCAGCAATTATAGCATATTTTTGAATAATTCTTTTTGTAATAAAAAACCCTACACTTACGTCATGCTTTAGACTATTTTTACGCCATTAAACATATGGGGTTAATATTTTGGATAAAAACCTAAATGTGGGAATGAGACCATAAGTTGCTGCCAACATCAAGAAAGCAAAATTGCCTTAGTAATGTAATTGGTATTTTGACATTTGCAATTGTATTTGACACATGTAAACTATAAAATAAAATTTTCATAAGTTTATGCGGATGAAGTCGCAGGGGAACAGCTAGTAACTACTATAAGACTAGAGAAATTGTGTATGTAATGTGTCAGAGAACGAACTTAAAGGTAGGTATTGAGGCGTCAGGCACGACTGCGTAAGGAACAAGGTGGGCAAAAAAAGAAAAATGAAATGAAAAAAATATTTATTTATAGATTTTTTACACAAACTTAACTTAGATTTCATTATAATACAATAATTATGTTCTAAAATTTACATAAATAAAATAGTAAAATATATTAAAGCAAAGCTATAGTCTAGTTTGTTTAATCGCAAGTTTTTCAGATACTATACTGTTCTAATATTTTCGGGTTCATTTATGTCTGATTTTTTAAAAATTACAAAACACTTGCACTGCTAAAGAACAAAATTCGCCAAAGTTGCTCAAAAATGCCTAGTTTTATATAATTCTCAGAACTTATTAATCCTCAATTACATAAAATTTTATTCTTCAATTATCTTTTAAATTAGTTTGTAAAAAAAAATAATAAAAGATTGTATATTACCATATTCCTAAATAATCGGAAGGCTCGATATTAATTTCTTAAGAATTTTAATTAGATGATGTAAAAAGAAAGTGTGTTAAAAAGATATTTACGTAACTTTTTATTACGTAAAATTATAATACTAATATCGACTTTTGACTTATAAACGAGTTTCCAACATCGACATCAAACATATAAAATTTTAATTATTAAATAATTGTCTGAAGGTCGAAGATCGTCCACCTGCAAGCAAAGTTCACGGCAACACAGAAATGAAAGAATCTTATTCTGCACCACTAAGTTTCAGTCGTTTAATAAGTGACAAAGATCAATTTAAACATCCAGAATCATTGGAAAGTAATCCGGTAAGAATACATTAAAACAATTAATACAAATTACAAGAAATAAATACAAATGTGATCATAATTACCATGTAAAAGATAAACATTTTGTGTAAACCCGGTTTTATAATTACCGGCGCCCTGGGCGAGATATCTAAATGCAATACAAACCTATACTAAAAAGGCCCGTACAGTGGCCTTTTATGTCCGGCGCCCTGGGCCGTCGCACCACGTCTGCGTACACACATAACTAAAGAAACTAACATTTTAAAGGCCACGGCTCAAATATAGCGAACATAACGAATTATGGCAAATCACCGTCGTGGATTTGTAAAAATACTTCAAATGTTGTAGGTAGTTTAAATAACATTGATTTCAGATACCTTTAGAACCAAGTTGGCATAAGGAGTTAGAACCATTGGACACAACTTACGATGGTTTTGAAAAATATTTAGACCCTTACCTCACTACGAACAGATTGCATCATCGACCGTACACTGCTGACCAGTTAAACAAGATCTCCAACTCTAAAGATATTGTTACTTATTACACGTTATCAGATATTCCTTGGGTAATATTAGTTTTCAAACTCTTACCGTGTTTGACGATTTTTCTATTTGCAGTAATTGTTTTGGTCATTTTAGGTTTGGTCAAGTAAACCAACACATGACGATTGGTTCGTACGAGTTAAATGTCCCAAGACAATGTATGATAGAGAGAAATTCAAAGGAGACTTCAGAGAAATAAGGACGCATAATAAATTAAGTTGGGTTCCAGGGTAACGAGTTTTTTTTTGTTTTTTAACTTACGCACCCTACACTTTCAGTTTGAACTGGACAGTCAAACTGTAAACCTAAAACTGTGTTTGTATAGGGAATACTTTATCTGACAGCTAATATTTCATCTACAAATACCCAGTTTTAAATATACATTTGTAGATGAAACATGAACTGCAACAGTTCGACTGTTCAGTTAAAACTGAAAGTCTGTAGGAGGTTTAATAAATGTCAAATATAAAAACATGTCGCCTTAAATAAAGGTACATAATAAAACGATAAGCAAAGCAATAATATAAGTTTAATTAAAGATAAAGATAAAGATAGCTTTATTTCCCTTATGATTACATTTTTTGCTTACATATTTACACTTATACTAAAAAAACACTAACAAAAACAAAATGCACTAAAAACAAAACAAAATATTCTCAAAAAAACAGTACACTAAAAAGTAACGAAATAATTACTTGAAAATAGTAAAC